TATATCACCTTACCATTAATTCATGTAAAATATAAAATAGGAAGATATACCACCAAAGCAGCTCCATAAAGTGCAGAAAACTGTGACACCAGAAGGTTCTGAATATTGATTTGCGAGCTTTCATGTTTTCCTATAACCCAATATCTTTAATGGTCTCTGCTCCTTTTCTCATACAAGCTTGAAAGAAGAAGAACCAGAAATTTCAAGGAAAAGAAAAGATGAGACTTGGATTTGCTTCTTGGAGCTTCATCCTATGCACCCTACTCATCTTTTTGGTAAGATCCAGTTGTGCTATTCAAATAAACTAAGCCATATCTCTGTTGACTTCCATAGACAGATCTTACAACTTGGCTTTTCTTCCTCTGGTTCTTGAAAATGTTCTTTTGTCTTTTGCTTTTTTTCCTTTGCTTGAAACGATTTTGCTTCGTTAGTTAATTTTTATCATCGTGTTGTTGATCTGACAGCGATTGACTTTACAGAAATTTTTTGCATGGTCTACTTCGATTATTAAACTTTCTTTGTCTTCTTGGTTGACGTTGCAGATTCTGCAAGAGGGTGGAGCTAGAAAGATATCCACAACATCAAGCAGAGAAATTGAACTGAAGGAAGCATCCTATAATTTGCAGAAGTTTGCAACAGAGGGTCTTGTACTCGACAGCATTATTCAGCTTGAAGGCGCTGATATAAGCTTGAAGAAGAAGAAGAAGCATGTCCATGATGAGGGCGAGGATGAAAATGATGACGACGACGATGATGACGACAAGAAGAAGGAGAAGGGGAAGAAATATAAAAGCGAAAAGATCATTGAAAGTGATAATCACAAACACATGGCCCCTGAACTGAATGTGTTTTTCACCCCAGATGATTTGAAGGTTGGGAAAATCATGCCCATCTACTTTTCCAAGAAAAACTCTTCAAAGTCTCCAAAATTTCTAACCAGAGAAGAAACTGACATGGTTCCCTTCTCCTCAAAACACCTACCATACCTTCTGAAATTCTTCTCCATCCCAAAACACTCACCCCAAGCCAAGGCTATGAAGTATACACTCAAACAATGCGAATTCGAAAACATGGAAGGAGAAACCAAGTTCTGTGCCACATCTTTGGAGTCCTTGTTTGATTTTGCACACTATCTGTTTGGTTCAAATACACAGTTCAAAGTTCTGACCACTGTCCATCTCACAAACTCAACAGCTGTTTTACAGAACTATACCGTATCAGAAGTGAAAGTGATTTCGGTTCCAAACGTTATAGGGTGTCACCCTATGCCTTACCCTTATGCAGTTTTTTACTGCCACAGTCAGCAGAGTGACACCCGTCTCTATGAGGTGTTGGTGAAGGGTGAAAATGGAGGAAGAGTTCAAGCTGCAGCTATTTGCCACATGGACACCTCTAAGTGGGACCGAGATCACGTGTCCTTTCGTGTTCTCAAAGTTGAACCTGGAACCTCCCCTGTTTGCCATTTCTTCCCTTCTGATAATCTAGTCATGGTACCTTTATCTGGGGCTCCATAACTACTTTTCTGTTTTATGTTTCTGTGTACCAACCTGGTTCTACTAGGAAAAATGAAAAACTAGGTATCTATGTTAATAAGGATGTCTTTGTGGCGTGCTTTGGAATAGAACGTTAATGTGATGTTTATCTTCTGCGTATGCTTGTTCTGTGCATGTTTGTTATTCTGTCCTGCACATGTTCATGGCTACTCAATAGTTTGCTTGAACTTTTGTAGGCCAGTATCCGAGACATGTTTTGGTAGGAAAACAAATAAGTTAACAGTTTCATTAGCAAAAACGATCGAATAGGATTAAGGAAATAAATTAAAGTTGTGGTAAAAATTTCTTAAGATCCTTTTATCTTAAGTGCCTGGGAAATTGGAAAATTTTGAATTGAATGGTCTATATGAGACTCAAACTCGTAAAACAAGAAAGTTGCTATATTTTTTTGTAGTGGATGAATAATTAAAGAACTATGAAAGAAAATCATAAATTTATTTTTTTAAAACCAAGAAAGTTATTATATATTTTTTTATTTTAGAATATAAACTTAAGAGGTATAAAAAATAATATGTTATCGTAATTCTTAAGTGTTAACTAATTTCTTAGCATGAAACTTTTAATCCAAATATTTTTATTGGAATATAAATTTTGTTTAGGTTATTATAACACTAAACTTAGAGTTTAGGTTGTTTCTTGGGAAGGAGTTTGGGTTTATGATTTTTGTTTTTGATGATTGGTCTGGAGTTATTATTTATTGTGATATTATTGATTATTAGTTTATTAATACGAACTCCCTGCATAAAGTATATACATTTTTGTTATATTAATTGAAAGTTGAAAATCGGAAATTTAAAATAATGTAAAACATTAAATCCTATTTATAATTAATATATATTAATTTATTACGAGATTTAATTATAAATTCAACGAAAAGGGTGGAAATACTAACGTTCATTAATTGCTTGGAAATTATAGCCCAGTACGCGTTTCGATAATTATACGGATGAAATGGCTTAGGGAAATGGTAATGTGATAACCGATCATCAATCGATGATCGAACGTGAAATCAGTTTGTTTGAAACGTTAGAACTTAGCCACAGTGAATCCTTACACAACCTAAAACTCTAAATGCAATGAGTTGAAAGGGTTGGGTTACACATTCCGTGATAAACTTTATTACTATTTATAATATTTGTTGTATCTATAACAATTGTGTACCTTGCTATTTATTTATGGATAAAAATTAATATTAAGCGATATGTGCTGTAATACAATTAAAACATCAGAATATTAAATTAAAATAACGATCTTCCTTAAGATTTAGTCAAAAAAAGATTTCTAAATTTCTTTACACTTTAAAAGTTATTGAACAAAACATGTGTTGGTCTTATGTGTCACTTTCTTTTGTTGTAGAGTTTTATTTTTAGTTATTCCTATTGTCGACAGACGATCATAGTACATTAATCACAATACATCACCACTGATATACACTTTACATTTTAATTAACCCACTATATCTAGCAATACAATATTAACTAGCATACACTTAAACACAAATAAGTTTACTAATATGGTTAAAGTTTAAGTTGGAACTTCTACATTATTGTATTAAATAAGAATAAATATCACAGTTTAATATCACGTTAAGATTTCAAACATTCATCTCCTTTAAACAAACATGGTCCATAAAATACTCGTTATAAATTGAAGTCGAACTAAGAACCCTACTGATCAAAAAGAATTTTAAATTTTGATTCAACTAAATCTTGAATTATCTTTGATCACCAAAAGACTAACAAGATATATTACATAAACAATTTGTGCTTTTTGGCCTTGTATGTGGGTCTTGGTCTTCCTGTTGATTTGGGGCAGGGGGGGCTGGTATATATAGTCCGTGTGAAAAGGACGTAATGGAAAGGGGCTTGGATTTTGGGAGTTGTGTTGATTGCTTGGGTTGGTGCTAATCCCTCTTGCAAAGCTTAGCCGGGATTAGCGGTCTTCAATAGACTTTGGAATATGCATGGGCACCGGGGAATCACCACTGTGACGTAGAAAATGCCCATCTCACTGTACATCTGCTCAACTGCAACGCATTAGAGTGGTGGTACCACGGTACATCCTTCTACATGTTTTGATAGAACCGGTTCTACTTTGGATACACAAATCAACGCAATATCCCATAGTAGAGTCTTATCTTGGTTGGGTTTTCTCAATCTGCAAAAAAATAGTCTAAGGGCTAAGGCACATATAGCACAAAATCAGGATGACGTTTAGGAATTAGTGCACAATGTTCATTGTACAATCTTAGGGATGTCAAATTGCGTAATGCTATCAAAACATAATTATTCAAGTGCAACGTAGATGTATAAAAAAACATTAAGGCCCTTGTATTTTGTAAAACAAAAGGATGCCATATAATATGTAACGACAACAATAGATCACGAATTATTAAATAGAAGCAGGAAAGAGTCGCCAAAAAAATCATGGAACCTGCATAAACACTATGATATATAACATAACAACCCCAAATGACTCCAAAAGGTTAAATTGTCAATAAAAACTAACTTATCAGGTTATTGAAAAAGCAAAACAAGCATCTAAACTAAACATTACGGAACTTCTGTATAATCATTATGGATTGAGTGAACTATACAGGGCAGTGCACAAGAAAACAGCATCACTGAAAGTATTTCAAACAGAAAAAACATCCACTGAAGGTTACTTTATTTAAACAGTTACTTTAAAGCCCGATTTCAGGTATAAAGTTTCCCTAAACGGAAGATACTTTGGGCAAAACAAACCTTTAATGTATTTTTGTGGTTTACCGATACTCTTGATGCTAAGCCAATCAATAAAACAAATCCGAATAATGTACGCACAACAGGACTCACCTAAAGAAGTAAACTAATGCAAAAATATCCCGTTGTAAAGTAAAATAAAAAACCATAGCAACAAATACTTTTTGAAGTAATTCATTTTAAAAAATTAAATACAAAGAGTACATCTCATCCCTCCATGATACACTGCATACGTGGAAAATAAAGAAATTCCGTCTTTGTGACTAAAAACAATCTTCAAAGGAAAATTAAGCTATGCTTATACATTTTACTTGGTATAAGAGGAGTTATCCTTTATTTCTAATTATGCCGACCTGGCAAAGATGTTAACCAACATGAAATACTAGTAGCAACGTATCCAAGCCAATAACTCAATTAGCTCTCTCAACACATTCCATCAGACAATAACAATATTCGTACAAACATCACGGAAAAACCATAGAAACAAGTTGGCCTGATACCATTAACCACCATCCAAACTAGCAAATAATACTAACAATAACTAGAACGCAAAATTATATGTTGAATAAGATAACAAACACGTTTACCACTAAATTTTCCATGAAATCGTGACATTATATCATTATTTTCAAGAACTCGAAAAACTTGATCATCTGCATAATGTGAATTCAAAAGTTAAAAAAGAATGTCTCAAGAGAGATAGTACCTCATTGATAGCGAGCATTTGACCATTGCTCTTCTTGACCTTCTTCAGCTTCCTCAAGAAGTACCTAATCAGTAGAAAAAATAAAAACATAAAAAAACTTCAAATCTAAACAAACAAAAGAATCAGAAACGGGGTCAACTAACTCCGATTGTCCGAAACTAACTAAACCAGTACACATCGAGCGAGAGGAGAATATTGCAACAAGGATCTCAGAAATTAAAACGAATGATTGAAAAGAAGAATGTGTTTACCAGAACTTGGATTTTGCCCGAACCTCGTTGGTGGCCCAAAGTTTCATGCGGTAAATCTTTGGGTGCTGATCTGCTTCCGTTGGGAGAGCCCTCCCAACGACCTGGTACTGGTGAAACTGCAAAAAACAAACAAACATTACACGATGAAAATCTTTATCCGAGTTATACGAGATCGAACACTAAGTAGTGAGAATTATACACACCCTGAACGTAACCATTTCTGAGAGAAGGCAACAAACGATTATCACACTCTCGCTCCCTCCCTCACAGTCCTACGACGAAAAGGAAAAAATCTGGGTTTTCTTTGTATGTAAAGAGCTCGAAACCCTAACTTTTAATTTGGACCACTGGCTCGGGCTCGGGTTCGTGTTGACCATTCGTGGGCTTAGACTACTGGACAAGGCCCAAATATTTTGTTTTCTTTATGACAATTTGTTCGGCATTGTTCATCAAAACTTTGAGAATTGTGATTGAACGAGTTAATTAAATTTAAATTATTTTGTAAAATTTAAGTTTAAATTAACTAAAATTATAAATTAATATTAAAAGCGTATGTTTATACTTTTTTTGTTTAAATTCTATTAATCTATACATAATTTAATTTGTATATATTACGTTATTTAAAATTATTAGCCTTCTTAAAATTTAAATATTATTTTATGTATAATGGGTTATTTCAAACTATGAAATAATGAATTTGAAAGAATGGCTTGGCATTGTTTGTGTTCCAATTTTACATGATTTATTTATGCAATAGAGAATCTGTGTTTAATTCTCATATTGAAGAGAAAACCTTTTAGTATTCTATGACATTTTCATATTAAAAAGTCCAACGTTTAAGAAATCAAATAATATAGATAAAGATAAAAATGTTTGAGATAGTTCGTAATTTTTTTAAAACTAGTTATTAAATTAAATTTAAAATTTAATCATGAATCATTTGATATGCATTAATTTTCTCCTAATTCTGAATTCTCCCTTCACGGAATGCTGTTAATGTATGACATTCTGAAAAACGCAACATTCTTACTGTGTCAAAGTAAATATTTTCACATTTAATCACTCTCCACTATTTTAATATTGTCATATATTATGATTTATTAATTATAAATATTTATCAGTTACAAATTTCCACTGAAATAAAAAAACATATACTCCTAAAAAAATACAAACTACGTAGTATATTGGGTGGTAATTACAAAAATAAATTAAACACAACATTGGCTTCCAACCAAAGTGTGTGTGTGTGTGAATTTTAAATATATTTCAATTTTTACCAAATTAGCTTAGAAATAATTTATATATTTTAATTTGTTTATTTCTAATTTATATATTTTAAATTTTTTTTATTTCTAATTTATATAGAATATTTAATTAATATTCTTTATATCAATGTTAGTATTCTTAAACATCTCCCCTTATATTTGTATTGTTTATAATATTTCTACCTTGGAAGGAAAGTTTCCGATCATTTGTTTAATTGGTAACAGATTTTGTAGGTAATATTTGATAAAAAAAAGTTAGTATGATTTAATATATTTTTTGTATTATAATTTAAATTATAAATTTATAAGATTAAGATTATATGAAAATTATAAGTTATAAGATTATATGAAAAAATTATCCTATTTAACATTATAATATCGTTTAAAAGTATAACGTAGAAAGAAAAGTGGGGAAACAAGGAAAAGAAAGGGACGGGACAAGAGAAGAACTAAGGAGCGCGCGGGAGGAGAACAGAGGGAAAAATCACAAATCGCAAGGGAAAAAAAGGACAAGATGTGGCGACGAGAAAAGCACAAAAATGGGAGGGAACAAACGCAAGGAAATCTAATATTTTTTATTTTTAAGAACACTATAAATAATTGACGTTTTATTTTTATGTATTTAATTAGATATTTGTTTTATAAATAAATATAAATGATTTATGTTTCGTGAAATTAAATTTTATTTAGAGTTTGGTGTTGTCTTCTCATGTTATGTATTATTTTATATTTTTAATATGATAACAAATGATTAATAAACTTTGAAATATTATGTGAAATTTTTAATATGATAAGAAATGATTATTTTATATTTTTGGATATATAAAGTTACTCACATGAACTTAGGATATTTAGTTGCACACATTCAATAAAGTAATGCAATCTCCCTCAAATTCTTACCTCTAGACATTGTGTTTTTGTACTGGATGTATATACCTGTTATATTTATTTCTAGTTTCAGGTAAACGTTCAATCAATATATATAGTATATAATATTATAAATAAAAAATAAAATACTTTATTGATGAATTAAATGATATCATTGATTTTTTTTCATGAGCACCCAACGATTACAAAATTAATGTTAAAAATGATTGAAATCATAAAAACTTACCGTGATGATATATGTTGGTTAGAAAAATAACCTTAATTATTTTTTAGGTGATCAAAGAACAAACATTTATTGATCTTCAAATTCATGAAAATCGAAGCATCAATATATTTCGAGAGACTCATTTGTTGGTTAGTTAATTGCTATTTTAACATTTGGTAAAATATTTAAAAAAATAAACGTATGTTAATCAGAGAAAAAGACGTTAATTGTCTTTTTAAGTTGGTAAAATAACAAAAGTTTATGTGTTAAAAATCATAAAAAATTGGTTTCTGTATATATATAGTTTGTTGAGATAATTTTAATTCTTTAAACAAGTGTTATTGCCTCCTCTCCAACGTCTTTAATAATTTAAAAAAATTAAAAGAATAAAAACAGAAGAGAGAAAGATAAGAGTTGCATGACTTGTAGGTGAAAACGGTTAAAAGTAATACATATCGGAGTTGGTTTTGATATTCAGATTTCCGAATATTAACTACCTAGTCTATTATTTTTTTGAAGTTTAAGAATAGAGTTTCTATCACAGATTTCGAACATCGAACTTCCAATGTTTGAACAACCCAACACGTAAAAGAAAGGTACAGTAGATGTATATATCTTCATCATCTTCTTAGTATACCGCTAACCAATTGTATATATATATGTATATAGATTTTCATCTTTTACCAAATCCTATTTTGCTTTACAATCAATGGAATCAGAAGAAAAAGAACTAGATCTCACCCTCTCCCTCCGATGTGGGAGTTCAAAGGAAACTCCAACCTCTTTCCTTCCTCTCGTAAGCCCTTTTCAAACAAACCTATCTCTCATGGAAATACAAGAGTATTGTTCTAACCTTAACCCTAACCCTTCGTCAGCGTCGGTCTCTTCTCACCACAGCGTCAACTCTCCAAAGGCGCCTGCTAAAGCACCCAAAAATAGACGCTCTTTGGGTAGTTCTCGTCGCATTTCGCGGGGCAAAGAAACGAGCAAAGCGATTACTGCACCGTTTCCTTGGGCCAAGAATCAACGCGCCACCGTTCATAGCCAACAATATCTATTGGAGAATAATATCAACACCATCACAGGAAAGGTTCACTGCAAGAGGTGCGAGCATGAGTTCGAATTGGGTCTGAATCTAGAAGAGAAACTTGATGGCCTATGCGAATTCTTTAGGAAAGAGAAGAATAAGTGGCATAAAAGAGCTCCACGGGTTTGGATGAGTCCAGTGTGACCAAAATGCCCCCTTTGCGAACGAGAAAGCAGCACCAGACCTGTAATTGCGCCAAACAAAAAGGAGATTAATTGGTTGTTCTTACTGCTTGGTCAGATGCTTGGTTACTGCACACTTGAGCATCTTAAATATTTCTGCAAACACAATGAGGTTCATCGAACTGGGGCCAAAGATCGTCTTCTTTATGATACCTATAAAACCCTAGTCAATCAGCTCCTACCTGATTATTTATCTGATTCTTGATTCATCCTGTTGTCACAATATTAGGAATATTTGTTTAGGTCATCTCAGTTTGGATGTTAGTTTTTTAATTGAAGTTAACTTCAACAGATATTTACATGTTTTGCAGTATCACTTTCATTCTAAAGTTATCTTATCTCGCTATCTTTCAACCATATCACTGTGATTTTGTAGTTTTTCACTTTCCCAGCGTGAATTATTATAAGATTTTTGTTGTTGTTATTTTAAGGTCATGAATTATGATTGCATATAATATTTTCCTTGATAACAAGACTTTTGAAGTTTAAAAAATAAATTTGTAAGAGTTTGACCAAACGGACAATATATCTTACTATTGTTGAAATAGTATCAATAATAAATTTGTGAAACTAAAGTGAAGCCTTGACAGAAATACTACAATTGGTATAGAAACTTCACAACTAACCACTTTTGCAATTTCGATCTATTTTTTTTATTGGACTTTGATATATTAATAAATTTTTTATAATAATTTTTTGACAACGGCTATGTGTCATTATTTTACTAATCAGTTTAAATTTTTTTTTAAAAAAAATATTTAAAACAGACGAATCACATACGTTCTTAACATGGTATAAAAAAATTATTAAAGAAACATTTTTCTTTTTCATTTGAGTCTTCTTTTATTAACTTTCTTATAACTTTCTTTACCGCTCTCATGTAGTAGGTTAGGATTATGATTGGTCTATTTTAAATAATTTTTTGAAAATAAATTCAAACATACTAATAAAATTCGTTTCAAATATATATTTTTAAAATAAATTCAACCAGTACTTTTTTAAAAAAGTTGTTATACAAAGTTGTGAGTCCTCTTAATTACGCTTTTATTTTCAATTTCTCAGGGCTCTCGGATTCAGCTAAGATATAGGTCACTTTAATTATGATGAATATTTTGAAAGCTAACGTATATAATAATCAATATACAAACCATACAAACATAGTAGAGTAGTAGTAATAATGGAAGGGTTTGGTAGTAGCAATAGAGGCTCTTATGTCTCGGTTATGCTATTAATCGAGGTCGTAGCTTTCTGTCAGCCGAATCAGTATAAGATTATTACTTTTTTTGCCTCGATTTTTTCTACACTCCAAGCATATAACTTCATCTTAATTTCAAAACTGTCACCGCGTCTTTAAATGCTTCGGTTTTTACGAAACCACGACATATATAGCGAGCTAAAAAAGTATTTTTTTACTAGTGTCACCATCTACTCTATAATAAAAAAATGCTAACTAATAGTATTGAAACACAAAATAAAAAATAATTAATTAAATTAGGTGAGTTGGTGAGTCAACGCAGTTCAACACATATTCAACTTGGTGAGTCGGATTGAAAACTAGCCTGCATAAAAAAATTATATTTTTTTCAAATCCAACATGGCTCAAACCTTTGGTGAACCGGATTGACACGTGGATTACAGACAATATTTTTAATAATTCATGATCTGTTACACATATTTACGTCCGAATATTATTAGATTAATAGCTCATTTATGGTTGAACTGTTACTTATGATTGGGAATATTTTTTTACAATATATATGCTTTTCAAATATAAGTTCAGGGTCTCGTTTCGAAACTTAAGAATACAATATATTTGTAATACATTATACATAACAGTTTTTTATTTTTAGTACTGTAACATAAAGTTGTACATTCTTTTATATTAATTATAGTTCATTTGAGTTTTAATAACTCTTGTTTAGATCTTGTACAGTAGAATAATATGATATATTATTTCACATAACAAATATTGTCAATATTTTTTATTTTAGTAACTATAACATTATTAATATTAGATATAATTTTATTCATACGTTACTTGCATGTATTGTAACATTCCAATATTGGATAATTCATAATTTATATATTGTAACATTACATTTACGGTAATCTCATACTTAAAATTTCATAGTTGATATATGTATATACATATTTTAAACTCAAATTTCAACTATAAACTCCTAAATATAACTTGAATTCTTCTAACTTATTCTTCGATCTCTTTCTTCATTGGTACTGGATCAGACAACATTTCTTCATCTACTCCCGTATAACGAATTATACGATCATCGTACATACCCAAACACAAACAAGTAGGGTGAGCTAACATGTAACAAATCATTTATAAAACATGCATAATTGCTTTGATACTAACATCATATAATAATTATGTCATACACCCTCAAACCATCATACCACAATTCCTATTAGACACTCGTTCCACAATACCCAATGAACACCACAATACCCAGAAGACACTCATCCGGATGATACGTTGATGAGCGGTCACGAGAGGTTATGCACTTGTGATGACTTCTACTTTTTCTTATAAATATACTTCCAAAATACTCCATACCATTCACAAGGTAAATCCTCAACACTATGTCCAAAACCGGCACATAGACCAGGACCTCCTGCTCCTCTCACCACATAATTCATCCCTCTCTACTTGAGACTAGATGATTATTAGAGTATCAGGATAACTTCCAACTACAGGACCCTCAACATCAACATATACATAATTACCACATCATTACAGAATCTCTCCACGAGATTCAATGCTCACATTCCTCAACTCATATTATACCATTACGAAATCTCCCCATAATACTCATATCATGTTCAGACGCATAAATTCAAATTCAATATAATAAATTACAATCATCACAATTAAAATTCATAATTTTGTATCTACCACAATAACATGAATTCATTCCAACGAGATATATTGCACAATAGTTTAACAGTACATAATCTGTTCAACAAGATTTAAGTTAAAAGCTTGTCGAGTAGACTTCCAGGAAAGAGAGGTGCGTCACAATGGACAACTTAAGTACCAAGTCTTTCCTTAGTCAAAGTGTTCCTCAACTAGTTTTAACAAATTTCTTATNCAAGTGTTATTGCCTCCTCTCCAACGTCTTTAATAATTTAAAAAAATTAAAAGAATAAAAACAGAAGAGAGAAAGATAAGAGTTGCATGACTTGTAGGTGAAAACGGTTAAAAGTAATACATATCGGAGTTGGTTTTGATATTCAGATTTCCGAATATTAACTACCTAGTCTATTATTTTTTTGAAGTTTAAGAATAGAGTTTCTATCACAGATTTCGAACATCGAACTTCCAATGTTTGAACAACCCAACACGTAAAAGAAAGGTACAGTAGATGTATATATCTTCATCATCTTCTTAGTATACCGCTAACCAATTGTATATATATATGTATATAGATTTTCATCTTTTACCAAATCCTATTTTGCTTTACAATCAATGGAATCAGAAGAAAAAGAACTAGATCTCACCCTCTCCCTCCGATGTGGGAGTTCAAAGGAAACTCCTACCTCTTTCCTTCCTCTCGTAAGCCCTTTTCAAACAAACCTATCTCTCATGGAAATACAAGAGTATTGTTCTAACCTTAACCCTAACCCTTCGTCAGCGTCGGTCTCTTCTCACCACAGCGTCAACTCTCCAAAGGCGCCTGCTAAAGCACCCAAAAATAGACGCTCTTTGGGTAGTTCTCGTCGCATTTCGCGGGGCAAAGAAACGAGCAAAGCGATTACTGCACCGTTTCCTTGGGCCAAGAATCAACGCGCCACCGTTCATAGCCAACAATATCTATTGGAGAATAATGTGGACACGATCATAGGAAAAGTGTACTGCAAGAGGTGCGAGCATGAGTTCGAATTGGGTCTGAATCTAGAAGAGAAACTTGATGGCCTATGCGAATTCTTTAGGAAAGAGAAGAATAAGTGGCATAAAAGAGCTCCACGGGTTTGGATGAGTCCAGTGTGTCCAAAATGCCCCCTTTGCGAACGAGAAAGCAGCACCAGACCTGTAATTGCGCCAAACAAAAAGGAGATTAATTGGTTGTTCTTACTGCTTGGTCAGATGCTTGGTTACTGCACACTTGAGCATCTTAAATATTTCTGCAAACACAATGAGGTTCATCGAACTGGGGCCAAAGATCGTCTTCTTTATGATACCTATAAAACCCTAGTCAATCAGCTCCTACCTGATTATTTATCTGATTCCTGATTCATCCTGTTGTCACAATATTAGGAATATTTGTTTAGGTCATCTCAGTTTGGATGTTAGTTTTTTAATTGAAGTTAACTTCAACAGATATTTACATGTTTTGCAGTATCACTTTCATTCTAAAGTTATCTTATCTCGCTATCTTTCAACCATATCACTGTGATTTTGTAGTTTTTCACTTTCCCAGCGTGAATTATTATAAGATTTTTGTTGTTGTTATTTTAAGGTCATGAATTATGATTGCATATAATATTTTCCTTGATAACAAGACTTTTGAAGTTTAAAAAATAAATTTGTAAGAGTTTGACCAAACGGACAATATATCTTACTATTGTTGAAATAGTATCAATAATAAATTTGTGAAACTAAAGTGAAGCCTTGACAGAAATACTACAATTGGTATAGAAACTTCACAACTAACCACTTTTGCAATTTCGATCTATTTTTTTTATTGGACTTTGATATATTAATAAATTTTTTATAATAATTTTTTGACAACGGCTATGTGTCATTATTTTACTAATCAGTTTAAATTTTTTTTTAAAAAAAATATTTAAAACAGACGAATCACATACGTTCTTAACATGGTATAAAAAAATTATTAAAGAAACATTTTTCTTTTTCATTTGAGTCTTCTTTTATTAACTTTCTTATAACTTTCTTTACCGCTCTCATGTAGTAGGTTAGGATTATGATTGGTCTATTTTAAATAATTTTTTGAAAATAAATTCAAACATACTAATAAAATTCGTTTCAAATATATATTTTTAAAATAAATTCAACCAGTACTTTTTTAAAAAAGTTGTTATACAAAGTTGTGAGTCCTCTTAATTACGCTTTTATTTTCAATTTCTCAGGGCTCTCGGATTCAGCTAAGATATAGGTCACTTTAATTATGATGAATATTTTGAAAGCTAACGTATATAATAATCAATATACAAACCATACAAACATAGTAGAGTAGTAGTAATAATGGAAGGGTTTGGTAGTAGCAATAGAGGCTCTTATGTCTCGGTTATGCTATTAATCGAGGTCGTAGCTTTCTGTCAGCCGAATCAGTATAAGATTATTACTTTTTTTGCCTCGATTTTTTCTACACTCAAAGCATATAACTTCATCTTAATTTCAAAACTGTCACCGCGTCTTTAAATGCTTCGGTTTTTACGAAACCACGACATATATAGCGAGATAAAAAAGTATTTTTTTACTAGTGTCACCATCTACTCTATAATAAAAAAATGCTAACTAATAGTATTGAAACACAAAATAAAAAATAATTAATTAAATTAGGTGAGTTGGTGAGTCAACGCAGTTCAACACATATTCAACTTGGTGAGTCGGATTGAAAACTAGCCTGAATAAAAAAATTATATTTTTTTCAAATCCAACATGGCTCAAACCTTTGGTGAACCGGATTGACACGTGGATTACAGACAATATTTTTAATAATTCATGATCTGTTACACATATTTACGTCCGAATATTATTAGATTAATAGCTCATTTATGGTTGAACTGTTACTTATGATTGGGAATATTTTTTTACAATATATATGCTTTTCAAATATAAGTTCAGGGTCTCGTTTCGAAACTTAAGAATACAATATATTTGTAATACATTATACATAACAGTTTTTTATTTTTAGTACTGTAACATAAAGTTGTACATTCTTTTATATTAATTATAGTTCATTTGAGTTTTAATAACTCTTGTTTAGATCTTGTACAGTAGAATAATATGATATATTATTTCACATAACAAATATTGTCAATATTTTTTATTTTAGTAACTATAACATTATTAATATTAGATATAATTTTATTCATACGTTACTTGCATGTATTGTAACATTCCAATATTGGATAATTCATAATTTATATATTGTAACATTACATTTACGGTAATCTCATACTTAAAATTTCATAGTTGATATATGTATATACATATTTTAAACTCAAATTTCAACTATAAACTCCTAAATATAACTTGAATTCTTCTAGCTTATTCTTCGATCTCTTTCTTCATTGGTACTGGATCAGACAACATTTCTTCATCTACTCCCGTATAACGAATTATACGATCATCGTACATACCCAAACACAAACAAGTAGGGTGAGCTAACATGTAACAAATCATTTATAAAACATGCATAATTGCTTTGATACTAACATCATATAATAATTATGTCATACACCCTCAAACCATCATACCACAATTCCTATTAGACACTCGTTCCACAATACCCAATGAACACCACAATACCCAGAAGACACTCATCCGGATGATACGTTGATGAGCGGTCACGAGAGGTTATGCACTTGTGATGACTTCTACTTTTTCTTATAAATA